CAGTCTAAGGTTAAAGTTTTTGGGGTTTGGGGAAGAAACCACAGAGTCAGGTAGAATATTCCAAACATTGACCACTCTGTTGCTGAAGTCGTATTTTCTGCAGTCAAGTTTGGTACAGTTAACCTTGAGTTTATATCTATTGTGTGCTCTTGTATTGTTATGATTGAAGCTGAAGTATTCATTTGCAGGTAGGACATTGCAATGTATGATTTTATATACTATATTTAGATCAGACTGGAGGCGGCATAGTTCTAGGTTTTCTAGGTCTAGAGTTTCAAGTCTGGTGGCATAAGGTATTCTTCAATGAGTAGAGGAGCGGAGAACTCTTCTTGTGAAATATTTCTGGATTTTTTTCAATTGTGTTAATATCAGATACATGATATCTGATATCAGATACATCCAGACTGATGAGCTGTATTCAAGTATAGATCTAGCAAATGTTTTGTATGCTCTAGTTAGTAGTGTGATATTACCAGAGAAGAAGCTACATAGGATTAGATTAACAACTCTTAACGCCTTTTTGGCTATGTAGTTACAGTGGGTTCTACCACTTAGATCATTTGAGATGAGTACTCCAAGGTCCTTGACAAAGTTTGGATCCTCAACAAGGTCTTGACTATTTAGCTTGTATTTTATTTTCTGATTTTTTCTGCCAATATGTAAGACAGAGCATTTATTTGTTGAGATTTGAAGTTGCCATTTGATTGACCATTCTGATACATAGTCAAGGTCTTTTTGGAGGGTACTAGTATTGTCTGTGGTGTTGAATAGCTTTACATCATCAGCGAAGAGAACACAGTTGCTCTTAATATGATCACAGAGGTCATTTATGTAGAGTATGAAGAGAGTTGGTCCTAAAACACTGCCTTGGGGGACACCACTGTTGACAAGTACAGAATTTGATATGACACTCCCAATTTTGACCATTTGTTGTCTGTTTGACAGGAATGCTTCTATCCAATTATGTAGGTGTCCAGAGATACCATAAGATTTTAGTTTTAGGAGTAGTTTGTCGTGTACCACTGAATCAAAAGCTTTATAGAAGTCTATGTAGATTGTGTCTATTGCTTTGCCCTGATTGAGTTGTGTAGTCCATATGTTTTTGCAGTGTAAGATTTGCAGATTACAGGATAGTTTTTTTCTGAAACCAAATTGTTTATTAGAGAGTAGGTTGTTTGTCTCTAAGTGGAGGATAATGGATTGGTTAATAATTGATTCCATGACTTTACAGGTGACACAGCATAAAGAGATTGGTCTGTAATTTTCAACTAGGTTGGGGTCTCCCTTTTTGAAGATGGGGATGACCATGGCTTGTGACCATAGTTTTGGCAAGGAGCTGGTCCTGAAAGATTTTTCAAAGATTATGCTTAGAGGTTCAGCTATGGCAGTGGATAGCTTTTTTAAGAAGTAGGCACATATTCGGTCCAGTCCAATAGAAAGAGATGGTTTTAGATTGCATAGTGCTTTTTCAACATTGTCTTCTGTAAAATTGATATGTATTAGATCATTGTAGTTGTCTGTGGTTCGGCTAGGAAATACTGGGCATGATCCATTGCTGTTTACAAATACTGAGCCGAAGAATGTGTTAAAGATGTTGGCTTTAATGGTGTCGTTGTTGCAGTCTTTACCATTAGGTCCTATCAGGGGTGGGATGGACCTTGAGTCTTTTAGTTTGTTGCTTACAAAATTGTAGAAAGCACGGGTGGAATTGGTGCATAGAAGGTTTTCCTCTTGTTTAATGTGATAATTAGTGCATTCAATTTTTATCTGGTGGCATAGATTTTTGTATCAGCTTTTGAAGTTGGCAATATGACCAGATTTGTTTTTTTGCCAAAGTGGTCTCTTTTTGGATTGAAGCTTCCTTATTATTATGGGTAATCTGTTTTTCCTGGTTTTGGGAGTTGTTATTGGTACATATAGTTTGATGGTTCTTTTGATTTCTAGTCAGAATATGTTGTAATGGTCTTCCACAGTATTGCATCCAGTGAATAGAAATTGCCAATCAAGGGATGAGAGATTGTTGTCTATAAGATCATAGTTGCCTTTTTTGAAGTTATAATTGGGGATTTTGTCATTGTGATGATTTTTGTGTGGACGTATGTTGAGACAAAAATCAATCATGTGGTGGTCACTGTTGGAAAAGGGTTCTTTAGTTTGTATTCCATAAATTGAATTCAAACTATTGCAGAAGATGAGATCGAGGCAGTTGTTAAGCCTAGTATTGTTGGTTACTAGTTGTTCCAGTCCCAGATTTGTTACAGCATTGTAGAAGGTTGCATGTATGGGTTCAGTTGTACATTCGTTTAGGGTCCAGTTAATATGAGGTAGATTGAAGTCACCAAGAAAGATAAAAGCGTGTGGGCAGGATGCTGCCCTTGTTAGTAGTGACTGGACATCAACAGTAGTCCAGGCTCTCATGAATACTTCAGTAGAAGTTATTGTGAAATAGATATAATCCTTTCTCTGCTGGCAGTGGACATCTTATGTTCCCACAGATAATTTCCCAGTAAAAGTAGGATTGTTCTCTTAGTTGTTCCTTAGCTGCATGAGACCAATATTTAGAAGGAAGCATCTTTCTGATTAAGAAGAGTACAACAGACCTTTAAACCAGAGGTGGTATTCAGCAGGTTCTGGACCAGTTCTGGAGAACCGGTAGTGGAAATTTTGAGTAGTTCAGAGAACCAGCAAATGCCACCTCTGACTGGAGATTTTACAGTATCCTTTCCCTGTCACGCCCACAGAACCGGTAGTAAAAAAATTTGAATCCCCCCACTGCTTTAAACATAAAACAGGGCTGTATTTAAACAGAGTTGCTGAAGACGACTCCTAAATTAAGGCTTAGACTTGGTAGACTAATTGCAAATAATCAGTGATCACTGCTTTTTACAAATGTGAAGATTTCTGGTACCCTCAGGCTTGATTATATAATCAATCCTTGGATAAACAGCTCTGGTATTTGTCACAATTACTGTCTTTAATAGTTTATTTCCCTCCTTGGATTAATGTTTCTCTATTTAATTCAGTTAAAATGGATTACTACTAATCTGAAGGCAGTGATAACTGTAAGGTAAGAAATTAAATGCCTTCTTTATGGCATTTATAGTGTATTGTTTTTCCCCTTTGAGAAGAAAAAAGTAGGATTTTGAGTAAACAGATAGTGTTTAATTTATTAATGTTTCAGAAGCTTTTAAAAGTTATTAATACTAAGAAAAATGTCCTATAATCATGGTTATGAAAATAGACATAATAAATTGCATGCAGCCCAGTCGTGAATATTTTTCATGCTCAGGTCTTATGTCATATTTGAACCCATGCAATCAAATATAAATTTGGTTGTAATCACCTCATTTTCTAAAAGATAATTCTTCCTTTGTGAACTATTATTGAAAGAGGCATTAAGCATCTGGAAATATGTGTTTCTAGTTCAGACTTTACTGATTTTAGTAACTAGAATGAACAATTGTGCTAGGTCTTTAAATTCTCATGATTGATCTTGAGAGATAAAGAAGAATGGAAAAAAGCATAGAAATAACTGTGTTTCTATGTATTCAACCAATGCCATTGCTCCCAGTATGAAAAAACACCTTGCAAACTATCTCAATTAAATGCATAGATTTCTATATCCATTGCTGAATTGTAGTTCAGCCTCTGCAACAATCATAGAAGCTATGGAGGCCCTCAGAGGTGTATAGTAGACTTCAAAATGCCCCCAGGTTGGGAATGAAACGGAGTGTCTATCACACCCCCATCATCCCCCCCCCCCAAGAAAATACATTTCTGATATGGCATGCTTAAATGAAGGCTCTGAATAGAATCCCCCCCCACCAAGATTTAACAGCACTGGAATTAAAGGATCTGAAATACACCTGGTAAAAAAAAAAATGCCTGAAGGAGCAGCACTATCTGAGCACTTAAGATTTCAGGATTTCTTTTCAAACATTTTATTTTATGTTTCTTATTCATATGTCTTGAACCAAAGTGAACATTTCAGGGAACAGGATTATTAAAATAGATAAATTATCTTGGATTTGATAAAGTTAGGCTATCGAATTTTAGTTCATAGATATTTGTGTGCCGTGAAAGCATTCCGAATAAATTTATAAATTCCATCAAATTAGAATCCCAAAATAGGATATAGTCCTATAATCTTATGAGTTCTGTATCAAACAGATGTTTTGCTATATATTACCTAAAGGGGCTGAAGGAGAGGAAGCTACAGGCAGTTGTTCTAATTGCATAGTCAACTCTATCCAAAGATTTTAATATATATTAGCGTGTATATGTATGTCTATGTGTTTGTGTGTTTATACAGACATATACATACATAAACATACACACATATATGGATGATACAAACACCTATGTACATGGGTGTATGAACAAATAATCATATACTTTTGTACAGTGGTGGGATTAAAAATTTTTTTACTACCAGTTCTGTGGGCATAGCTTAGTGGGTGTGGCAGGGGAAGAATACTGCAAAATCCCATTCCCTCCCCATCCCACTAACCTGCTTTCCAGCTCTATTCTCCTGTGAAGGGCAACAACAGAAGACCCAGCTAATCAGCTGGGACTCGGGAGGCAGAGAATAGATGGGGGCAGGGCCAGTCAGAGGTGGTATTTGCCGATTCTCTGAACTACTCCAAATTTCCACTACCAGTTCTCCAGAATTGGTCAGAACCTGCTGAATACCACCTCTGCTTTTGTAATACATATGTAGCATTTATCTTTCATATATGAAAATGCATTATAAATTCTGAGAGCTTTGAATACTTGCTTGTTGTCCTTTTGAGGGAAGAAAGTTCGTGATGTGTAAATGCCTGATTTGAGATCATATGAATCTCAACCCACTTCTCCAAGATCTTTATTTATTTATGAAAGTTGTAATAACAGGGGTGCTTCCTCTGGCTCAGAAAGCTGTTATCCTCCTAAATCTAGTTTCTTTTGTTCTGTGTTCTCAAGCATTGCTTTCTGTTCACCCTTCCTCTCCTCTTTTACAGAATAATTCCTGGGGGAAGCAGTATTCTTATGCACTCTTCAAAGCTATGAGCCATATGCTTTGCATTGGATATGGAGCCAGAGCCCCCGTGAGCATGTCAGATCTCTGGATAACCATGCTGAGTATGATTGTGGGGGCCACCTGTTATGCCATGTTTGTTGGACATGCCACAGCCCTGATACAGTCTTTGGATTCATCCCGACGTCAGTATCAAGAGAAGGTAATTTTCAGCCACAGTACTCTTTTAGTTTCAAATCTTGTTAGTTTTGGTGCTGGTCTCATGGATTCTGTTGGGACAAGTTGACCAAAAGTGGTTGTCTGAAGTAGTGAAGATTGCTGATAAATGTAGTCATCCATCAAATGACAAAAAATGAAAATGAAAACAAATAATAATTCCTTTTCAGATTTTTCTTTGCTTTCCTCAACTGAGCACTAAAATTCATTTTGAATTTGAAATAATGCAATCTGAAAGACATCATAATGCAATCTGAAAGACATAATAATTTTGTATTTCAACATGATAGTTGTGCCCAACAGATACCATTTCCTAAAATTCCCACCTCCATATTTCAGCATGAGCAAGGTAGAGTACTATCTGCAGGATATCATTTCTAGAGTGTGAATGTTAGTTCTTCAGATAATCCTTTCTGCTCTATTTAAGGATTTGTAAACCAAGGTCAGCACATTTCAAAAATTCCTGGGCATTTAAATCCCTCCCCCCGATTCACTTGAGATTAGTTTCTCAAGATTTATTGGGTAAAATTAATAAGTGCCCAACATAAGGCACAATGCCAGAAAGAATCTAAATCTATCTTTTCCTGTGTTTGAAGGATCAGTAAATGAAATGATATTCTAAATATATTGTACAAATATAAAAGTAAACACATTAATTCAATTTAATTGATTTAGGTGCCTTTAGAATGACACTAGTATAGTTCATAATATGGTAAGTAAAATAAAATATAATATAGTTCAGAAAATATAAAACCAACTAAAAATAGGGTAAGTAAAGATGATGAACCAAGCCAATAACACAGACACCATTAAACCATTCACAAGGGCCCCAGTCTTCTTCTAATGGTGTTTCAGATGTGTTTTCTGATACTTCATCTCCCAAAGTTCCTCAGTAAAGGAATAGCATATGAAATGAATTAAGCCAGCATTAAAATGAAATAATTTTAAAATGAAAAGTTCTAACTCAAGTGGTATTATATAGTTTTATTACACATACACATACACAGAGAGAGGGGGGGGAGGGAGGGAGGGAGGGGGAGAGAGAGAGAGAGAGAGAGAGAATGTTAAAGCTTTAAATTAAATTATCATTGAGCTTGTGCATAAAAGTAATAGTATGAATAAAATAAATGCTGGATTTCATCATGTTTTCCTGCTGTGTTGCAAACTTTCCATTGAACAATATGCTTGGGGGAAAATATCTTTTTAAAAAAGCTATCTTAACAGACTTATGCAGCCATTCAAAAGATTAACTTTTATTTTTCACCCGTTTCCAGGATTATTTTGCACCAGATTTCCAAGAAATCAACCTTTCTGTGCTAGCAGTTGTTCCAAATATCAAAATTGCATATTTAAGAGACATAATGTTTTACTCTGTTTTGAGCTATGAGATTCTGAAGTATGCTACTTAGAAAAAATTATATTAGGATATTAACAATGTATGTTAAGCATACCAATTACAATGTCTTTCCAGCTTAAAGTAGTTTTACAGAAGAACCACAAACTCTGATGTTACATATGAACCTTTTTTTCCCCCACTACCTATGAAAATTAAGGAAGAGGATAAATTGGTTCTCATTATCTATTTCTCCAGCCTGTAATAGCTATGTATTCTCTCCCCTTTTTTCCATCTTCCTGATAGCCATTGAAGAGTTGTGTTCCCAGTTTGTTTGCCTTAAAATATGTATTAAGAGCCATTGGCAGGAAAGAAAGAAGGTAGATTTTCTTGTAGAGAGGTCGTACTTGTGGTAACATTTATATTGAATTCTTCTTTTTCCAAATTTGTTTTACCGTACAACAGGTGTTCAGGTTTAATTAACCTGAAGGGTTGAGAGAACTCTATCAATAATATCCATGAGGTTTTTTTAGTTGCTAGTTCCTTTCTCTAGAATAGCATTGCCCCCAAGATCCATATTGTCCTGATAGATAGTCAGAGGACTATTAAACCTGTCCATCCCAAAAGGCACTGGAGGTGGATATTTTATGAAATTATTTCTTCTTTTAATGATAATATGTTTGTCATTAATAGCATATTATTGTTCCTTGGCTAATAAATTATAAATAGTGTGTAGTTATAATTTATTTCAGTTGTTGTAAGCATTTGATTCTTTTCTTATTTGTTCTTATGCATTGCTTCAATTATGTTGAATAGCACTTCTTCCCCTCAGTGTCTGCCATGTGCTCCTCCACTGGCTTTTAACATTATTACAAAGATTATTTTAGTTAAAAATTAACAAATGGAAACATGACTACAAGCAAAATATCTGTCTCTAACATACATTTCCAATAATGCTTCTGTGGCCAACCTAGGCCTAGGAGCATTCTTGACAAAATAATAGCCAATAACTGTCTATTTAGCTAGACAATAGCTAGTTTGAAAAGGTAAAGAGAAATATGGCCAATTTTTAGAACTCATAGATCAGGAGGCATGAAATAATGTATTAATCCACAGTTCAATTGTCATTTAAAATATAAGTTAAATAACAAGATTGGTACTTATTTATTTCTCTGTTCCATGAATGAACATCATTTTGCATCTTTTGAATGTCTTGCCAACTATGGAAAATTAGATTTTGTGTGACAAAAAATAGCATCAGCATCAACTATTTATATTGTTGTTCACAGTTTTCATAATCATGCCATTTTTAAAAAAACATATTTCCTGTGATTATTCACAAAAACACTTCTTCTGTAGAAAGCATTGCTTTCTTTAAGCAGATTTGAATTAAAAATGTGTTCTTCTGCTTTGTAGTAGCCCAGCAAGGAATCAAAATTGGACTACATCATTAAAGGAGAGGAACTTTCCCTTTTCTTTATACATTTTATTAGGTTGTAAGGTATTATAAAATACAAAAGCAAATAAGTTAACAGGATAGGGGAAGGGAAAAGAGGGGGAAGAAAAGTGAGGAAGGGTAGGGAAAGGAGAAGAAAAAGAAACATTGACTTCCAACTCTATCTGTTGCATTAGAAAAAGGCATTAACAACAAATCACAACTTTTTGTTTTACCATAATAGTATGAACCAGTCATTTCTACAAAAATCTATCAGTTAATCTATGAAACCCAAAATCAAAATTTTATTTTTTTCCACATCAAGCATGAAGTTCGGAAGTGGTTTCCATGTGGAAACAAAAATATTTATGTTCTTTTGGAAGAGGAACTTTCCAAAAGCATTGTCCTAAATAAAATTACTCACTTCCATTCCAAATGAAAACTGCTGTTTTGGGGGAAAAACTCCAGGAACCAATGGGAAAAAATTGTTGTGATTCATAAGGTTGTGAAGAGTCAGGCATAACTTAGCAACTGAATGACAAATTTATTGAGTTGAAATAAGGAAATAATTATTGTTGCAATAGAAGTGTGGCTTCTGTTTCATTGCTTATGTATTTATTTGCTTACTCACTTGGACTATTTAGTTTTTGTCATATCAGTTATTTACAGCCACTTACAAAAAAACCATAAAGCCAAATTAATGAAGAATATTAAAAAAGAATTAAAATCTTCACAAGTAAAAAAAAAACCTGTTCCAAAGAGGTGTTTTGAAGACTTTTTGAAAAACCAAGAATGAGGTCAGCCTTCTCAATTCAGCTGAGATTACCTTTTAAAAATTGGGACAGCGACAGGGAAAGTTTGACCCCAAGATCTCACAAGAGACAAGCCCCTGTTGCTGAACTTCCTTAGATGACCTCAGTGAACCTTGGAGATTGGACTTGGGTGGGTGTGCAGGGGTAACCATGAAAAAAAAGCCTGAAGTAACCACACTTGGGTGGGTGTGCAGGGGTAACCATGAAAAAAAAGCCTGAAGTAACCTGGAGTTATACCATTTGGGACTTCAAAGTCAATATTATGTGCTTTATCCAGAGAAATACCAGCAACTAAGAGAATGCATGCATGGTCTTTTCTGGTGCTTCCCTAGACTGCTTAATGCTGAAGTCTGTGCTAATTGAAATTCAAGGCCAGTCAGAAAGTAATACATAGAATGCATTACACTATTCAAGCATGGGTGCTATCAATCTTTATAACAGACAACAGTATTGCGTCTGGAATTATTTGCACATAAAATATATATTTTATCATCTAGCAAAATGCCCTTCTTTTATGCAGACTGTTTTTAGTTTTACAGTCCTCAGCTTGTTACCTTTCTTATGCCTTGGAATTATACTCTCTTAGGACCAGCAGACCCGTCACCTCTACTGGAAGGAAATTATGGGTGTTGTAGTCTCAAACACAGTTGATAGCTATTCTAATCTGGATTTCTAGGTACCCGAAGAGAAAGATTAGCATTTTCCTGAATAGAAACTTTCTGCAAATTAATATAAAATCTCTAAAGCAACGTTGATCTTTGTGCATTATGCAGTTGAATTGTGGTTTTCAGTTAAATTAAATCCTTTTGGAATCTGACCTTTAGTACCCTGGTTATAGAGGCATAGGAAAACTGTTCTTTCTTAGACTCAAATACCATGTCTGCTGGCATTGTAAATTAATTTTCTCCTAGTTTTCTACAGAAAAATGCATGATAAGCTCATGGCCACTGGTTTCTTCACAGCAAAATAAAATCAATAGGTAGGAAGTTTTGTGGAAATCTAAATGTACAAATTTTATCTTCTGATGCCTGGTGTCCTAGATCATTATACAGTCAGATTCTAAATGCAAAAACTAATTGACATTTGATATTTCACACATGTCAATACTTATTATGCTAGTTTATATTCTAACATTTTAATTTATATTTCAGGGAACAGCTGAATTTACTTACTGTTACCTCCTGATATAAATATCTAATTTTAATAGTTTCAGACAGCACAGAAATAATTAGGAAGCATTTAAATTGAACTTTTTTAAAAAACATCAACATGTTTTTCATCAGTTCTTATTCAATTTGTTGAAAGAGAACATCCTTCTTTAATTTATTTAGATGTTTATTTTGTATTTATTTTATTTACATACACACACATACATGCATACATACACACAAGCCCACAGATATATT